GGGATATTTTATTTATTTTAAAAGCAATTATTTCGAACATTTTACAGGTGACTACATAATACAGCTGCTTTGGAAACTAGTAACCAGAAAGTTTGTGTTGCCACATATATTTTTGTAATTTAATCCTCTTTGTGACAAAATATTTCGCCATGTTTTTCCACCTTGCGCGAACGATATTTTAAAATGGCTAATGGTAAATACTTGAAATTGGATGGAATTCTTTATATGGGCACTATTTTCTAACTGAACCAACAATATGATGAATATTTTAATACTGAAAAATTTTATGGACGAAAACATTACAAATTTTGTTAATAAAATACATTTTATAAACTCAACTCAAAATAAAATAAAAATTTAACACGGAATTTTTAGAATTTTAGGTTCACAGTAGTTTCCAAATGTTATAAAAGCTATATATTAAATATAGAATTAAATTATGAAATAGAATGTTTTAACTGTGCGCGCAATTTGGAAACATGACGAAAAATGTTGTCACAAAGCGGATTAAATTATAAAAATATTTGTGGCAACACAAACTTTATGATGACTATTTCAGAAAGCAGCTATATTATGTAGTCAGCTGTAAAAAGTTGGTAGTATTTGCTTTTAAAATAAATAAGTTATCCCAAATCTTGCAACAGTCACCTATTCGAACATCTTATGGGTTTTAAGGTGTATGAGTCTCCTTAAGACAACAAATTTTGTTAGGTACGTTTCAAAGTGATCTCGCACCATACATAATGGTCTTTCAAGAGAAAGATATTTCATCTTATAATAGAATACACGAAATTATCATGAAACGCACTTCTAATAGTGAAAACAATTGCAGATACATCGTTAAATGTTGCAGGGAAAAGAATGGCGTTTGCATTGGCTATTGGTTCTATGATATCCAGCTGACATTTCTAAAAACATTGCATTTAATTTGCTTTTGGATAAAATTCCTTTCCATAATGCTGAGAAAAACAGTTGAAAGCGTGCGGAATATCAAGTAGATTTGTTTTCAGCTAGCAATCAGTTTTAGGGACTAATCGCGAAGGCGGCGATATACTTTTACGGTAGCCACTACGGAGAACGGAATTCCATTCTCCACGATAGGCCCTGTAACACAAATGTACCGCAATATAGCAGCAGCAGGTGATTACGCTTGTCTACGGATATTTTCATAGTATTAACGGATGACAAAAATTTCTTTCAAAATAGCAGTGGAATTTAATTAGTTTAATATAAATATAATTATAAACATATAACAAGGTATTTTAACAAAATTTTAACTAGGAAAATGCAAATATTTGTTCACGAACCATTCATAATGGTAGTAATGAAAATGTTTACTACGACTTGTTCATAACATTTCTGGAAATTATTTATACCTAATCTTAGTTCTCGGAGGCATCCGTCTTTGGAACAGTGCTTGCAAATTAGGCAAAAAAGGCAAGCTTACTTTGGCGTAGATTTTTTTTCTACGCCAAAGTAAGCTTTGCAAAACTAAGTAGATACTTTAGCTTAGATAATGGTTGGTTACTTCTGAAGAAGAAGGACCTGCGTCTGATTGCCTTCAAAATCGAAAGAGGTATTGAAACTGTACCTAAAATTAAGGATTGTTTTGTCGCTTTATTTTAAATGATTTACTAAAATCGGAACGAAGCTATTTGGCGACTTAATCCCTTACTTAGCCACATTTGTCTGTGAGCTAAAAATTTTCATAATGACTTTTGAACTGAATTTCAGTTAAAAAAATTATTATTTAATAGTTTGATTGAACTGTTGATTATAATAAGCGATATATTTTCCACGTTTTTGTATAGGAAAAGCAGTGACTTGGTCAAATAGATAACGATATCCGAATAATAACATTAACCGCAATCACATTAAGCGGTGTCTACAGTGCTAATTTAACAACTAACATTTTTACCATAAAAAATATTTCTTAGTTAAATTTTATTCATATTTATGAGTATTGCTAAAATTCATAGTATACGGCATCCATATTTAACTCAGAAGCTCTGAAAAATTCACAATTTCTAAAAAATGAAACATATACAGGATTTTGAAAATTTTTATTTAATACAGAAATCATTATATGAATTTCATCACAATTATAAATTTGTATGAGAAACAAAGCAACATGTTTAAGAAAATATGCTTTCAACAAATGTTTGTGATTCATAAACTTCTTTGAATAAAATAGTAATATTTTAAATTAAGTACATTATAATAATTTTTTAAAATTTCTGTTTACTTGGGTCACAAGAAACTGTAACAATGTCATGAAAGTGAATGAAAAATATGTTCTTTCTCATTTGTGTGTAGAACGTTTCATCATCGGCAGTCAAATCAGTAAACCTGTTAAGTAATACATTCGCTTGCAATAACTTGAGTTCGTAAGCAGGTTCAGAAAAGTCAAAATGATTTGATAAAGTAGTATTTTAAAATATGATTAGCATTATTAAAATAAACACTTCATGGAATACGTCATTTGCTTATACAGAATACATAGCAGAGACAAGTTTTTTTTTCCAGTTCACCAAAACCTATTCACCATAAATTAGATTACATGATTTTGTATTTCAGTGAAATGAATTAATCGTTTTCAACTGATTTTAATTGCTTTTAAGAACAGAAAGAAATAGTTTCAGCTTTTAAGCTAAAGGAATATTAGCAATGCTTTTATGACACTATTAATGAACTATAAGACTGCGGTTATACGAGACAGACCTATTGAAAGTGGTAAAATACTTAGATGCCAAAATTTCGCTTTTCAACAGATGTGAAAAATAGCCCATTTCGTTGATAACTGCGTAAACACGTGAAATAAAGCTTAATTCCGAAGTATTGAGAAAGCATAAAGACGTCAAGGTAAATTTTACCCTAAAAATGAAGAACTGTTACAATGTGGTATATTCCTGAATAACAGATGCCATTTCTTATGTGCTTTTGGGGATAAAAGGTGTTTTGCAATTGCTGGCCTTCATAGATTGAATTTTGTTTGCGAATACATTTTGAGGGGGATGAATATGAACATATTCTAAAACCTAAACAAATGTTTATTTCTGAAGCTCTCTAATATAATAATTGATTTAACATTTGTTTGTGTTTTGTTTTTTCTGGGAAGAAATTTTTTGAGTATTTATGTGTTAGCTGACATCATTCGATACACCGCCAAATGTGTCATGAATGACTACATTTCTGCGAGTATTGCAGCAATCTTAGATGTTCCAGATTCTTAAAACAAGTTGCGGTATTTTCCTTTTATAGTTTTTTTTTATTGTTTGAGGAAGAGATATGATTGGAATATTTGTTTAAAGTTCTGAAACTATTTAATTATTTTCATAAATTTAATTTAAATAATTTAAAAGTGTTCAGCTATGTGATGAACTAAAAACTAAACCTAATTCACTATTCAAATATACTTAATTCTTTTATCAAAAATAAGAAAAGATAATTTTTTAAGAATGATATGGTTTAATCACAGTAAGAATATCAAAATAATTAATGTTTAAAATCGGATTAATAGGTGCTGTTTATAAATTAATGTCTTGACACTTAAAAAGACATAATTTATTATTTATCAACTGAGCAATTATTCCATTATAATTATTAATAAATTAAAAATTTAAAAATTATTAAATTATTATTAATTAAATATTTAATAAATTAAAAATTTTATTTGCTTTGATTGAGCGTCTTTAATTCATATCAATAAGAAATAGTTTTTCTTTGAAAATAAATATGTTTTAAATTACAATTCACATGTAAGTCATACACTTTTGTGAAATAATTTTACTTATATGAAAGTCGACGGTCGCTTAATATAATTATTTTACCATTCTTACATTTTTTGTTTCAGATAATAGAAGAAAGATAAATAAAAAAAATAAATAAATAGCGAACGGATTTCGATATAAGTTTAGGTTTCTTATAAAACTGAAAATGGTTTCATATGTTTGAATTGCAAGATTGTTAAATTACATTTACTTTCAACTCTCATTTTATATTTTTGTTTCAAGTATTGCTCAATATGCTTTGAAACGTATTGATAAATCAACATTTATTGTAACGATAATGTAATGAAATCGTAAAATTTATTTGGAGAATATCCAGAGAAAGGCGATGTACTTTTAGTCAAACTAAAAATACAAAATAAAATAACAAGATATTATACAATGAAGAAACAAAATTTACTCCTGAAATTACAGCTTAGGAATAAATTTAATAAACGTGTTTATATTCTTGAACTGATAATAATACATTAACTAGAGTGAGATTTCTTGAGAATTTCATTTTATTTTAACCAATCAGCTTGAAAAATTAATGTATAAGCATTTCAGTTACCGGTAATTCAATTACCAGTAAGATTTTATGCGCAGAATATATACAAATTGATTGATGAATTGATTATAAAAACTATCAAAAAAATCTGAAGTGTTTCAGATTTTAAATTGTGTCCAAAGGGGCATGTTTTTAATGTTTTGTTGTTTACCTTTATTTATTAAATATCATTTTCTTTGCACTTAAACTATAGAATTCAATTCAACAGCAACGTCGCAAAATTATTTTCAAATGAGCATATCTTTAAAATTTCAATACTCAGTTCCTCGCGCTGGAGATAAAAGGTTTTCCCCCATAGAGTGTTGCCATTACTCGCTTTTAAATCGTTGAGTTTGTTAATAAAAAATTCGTTAAAGGTTTACAAAGTATGAAATAGATAATAAGACAAATTCCCAAATTTCAAATTTGGGCTTTCAGATGCCTATATTCGCAGTAGGATTACGTTATTCAAAATTGGATCGCTCTATGTACCGTTGTTTTATCACAATGCGAGAAACATACATACATTTATGCAGATTCTTCATTATTTAATTTCTTCAAATATAATATAGGGCGATAGTATTTGGTGGCAACGATTTGAAAAGTTATACAGCCTTTTAAAGTTTCCAAGGCAAAATTGCAAAACAAAAACAATAGTCCTTCAGGGAAAAAGCCACTTTGGACTAAAAATAATATATTAATAAAAATAGTATTAAAATTAAATTAATAAATAAAATTAAATTAATAAAAATTATGTAAATAAAATGTGTTAATAAAAATTTAACCGATTATTATGATATTACAAAAGTATTGTCTACTGAACATGTGAAAGTCTTGGCCTTTACAGTTACATGCACTGTACATGCAAGAGTGCAGAAGTACTATTTCATTTCAGCGAAACAATTTATAAATATATTTATTTTAAACATTTTTATTTTATTTTAAGCATAGCATGTTTTCTGCTTAACGCCATTAAGAGAAATTTTATGTCTTAATAAGGTTATAGCTAATCTTTAAAAATCCTTAAACATAAACAAAAAAATCCGCAAAACTTATAAGAATTGATTGAATGCAATGTTTCGTAATAAATCACTTTTTAACACATGCGTATAAATTACTATTCTAATTAAAACAGATTGGCGTAGAAATCCAAAATTAAAATCATTCGCCTCTGTGCAATAAATTTATTATCTTTTTTATAATATAATATTTGTAATTTGCACAAACATTTTGCTTTATTTAACTCGTAGCAATGTCCAACAATTATCTTTCTTTTCCTCGTTGGGTGAAGAGTGGGATGAAATAATTAAAATATCAGTAAATACAATGGCGATGTCTTTTTTACAAAAATTAATCTTCTTAGTCATCACTTAGTTCTTTATTAATATATACAAAAAATAAATATTTCTCGAAAATTGTACTCTCCGCTTATAGAGAATGAAGATAAAATGTGATAGCAAAGTAACAGATTAGTTATTTTTCACAATACATACAGTTTAAGTCCAAAATCATAAAAAGTTAACATAATATTAATTATTGAAAATTAATAAATCGCAGATATAACTAAAAATACGTTAGTATTTAATCTGAAGGTTAAATCACTAACATAATCTGTTTTTTCAAATGCAGTTTTATATCTTTACAAAATTCTGCTTAAGTTGCAGATATATTTCATAAAATTTTTGGTGAAAAGCTAAACCATCCACATTAGTCTTTCCTAAAAGACCACAGACATTAAGTTTTCTGTTCTGAGCCTTTGGCTTTGAATAACCATTAGCAACAGCGAGAAGAACACTTGAACAAGAGATGCAAAGTCTTTTTTCTTTTAATGTCTTATTTTTACCCTGAAGATTGCAATTTGAATAAAATAAAAACAGAAATTATAACATGAATAAAATTAAAAATAATATAAACTGTAAAATTTCAAAGTAGCACAGAGGATCTAAATGTTCGAAGCCGCAGTTTAAACTGTGCTCAGGCTTGGAAAATGCAGTGCTGAATGCTTTAGGATTGTTATGGATAATGTTATGTATTATTTTGTTGTGTACAATTATTACATATTATTTTCCTGTGCATAAGGTATTCTTAGTAATTACATTATTTTACTGTGAATAATGAATTTGTATTGTTCCTATTCAAGAATAAGTTTTTAATATTTAGTTTTGTTTAGACTTTTCGTTCGTTTACGGCAATGCTGTTTTAAGTTTAGTTGAAGATGTGATTCAGATGAAAGGGCGAGGGTTTCCCAGGAAGAGGTCAGTTGCGGCCAGCTGCGGTTTCTTTCTCTGGGGGTTGAACGAGGCGAATAATTCTAGGGGCCGGCGATATTTGACAGAGTTATGGGTTGGAAAATTTCCTCTGTTGCATGGGAAATAAGGATACGTCATTTTTGTTAGAGGCCTGAATTTCTTCGAATTCGAGATGCTATTTATTGCCTCTGTTCTAATTGGCTAGAGGGTCAAGTTTTGGCTGGCTGCATGAGCGGTTTGGAGGCATTCCCCATGACTAACGTCATTTACAAAGGTTCTCCTAGAAGTTCTCTTCTTAGGCAGATAATTTGCCTTAATCCAAATAATCCATCCCAATGGAGGGAAAATACAGGGTAAAGCAGTTTTGATTACCCATTTTAAAAATAATATATTCGGTTCTAGAGATAATGAAACTATAAATATCTATCCTCTTTTTTCACTGTATATACATGCCACATAGACTCAACTGTTGTGTTACAAAGACAGAGAGTACAACTTTCAACTTTTGAACTATACGATCCATATTCATGAAATATGCCTCAGAATATTATTTTTGTAATAGATATTGTTGACTATGAAAACCTGATACTGGCCATAAGTGAAAGGAACGTCATTCTGTCGTCAGCACATTAAGTATGCTTCAAAACGATGACAATCGTATATTCAATTCCTCATTGAAATCGCAAACAAACAAACAAACAAACAAAAAACAAGGATGTAATGTTTCAAGCGGTCATAAATTTCATAAATTATGTAATCCAGGTTCATAATTAAATCACAAAGAACTCCTGGGATACAACATTTGATTGTTTCTTTCTCTATATCACTTCTTCATAATATTTTTTGCTTCATCATGTGCGGTAAAAATGCAAACTTAAAATGCTGTTCGTGAAAACAAGGTCAGAGTGAAGGAAATCCACAACTGATTGAATGATGTGTAGCACCATAAACTTCCACTGGAAACTAAAATGAAAGGAAAAGTATGTTAATTCAAAATTTATGAAATTTAATCTACATCACTATTAAACATTTTGCATTCTGAAATTTCGATAACAGTCTAATACCTCTGAACGTTATTTTCCGTTAAATAAATTAAAAATGTACTTACTTACTTCCAACTTAGAAGACGAAATCCTTATTCTTAAATAACCTAAAATCTTAATTTAAACAAAAATTCAATTTTAAAGATTTCAGTTTCTGCATTCTTTTCGAAAGCTAAATAGTTTAATCAGTTCTCACTTCGCGACAAGGCAAAAATATATAAAAACTCAAAATATCTGTATTAAAAATTACGAAGTAAATCTTAAACACTTATTTCCTCAAAAACATTCCAGAAAGGATTAAGCATGATTTAATTCGCAGTAATAAATGAAGGCGTTATCTTTGTTGCTGCGAAGCTAAGTTTCTCTAGATTGGAAACAAATTCACTATCCTGCTGTTTCAAGTGTAAACAAGCAACGGCCGCCATCAAAAATATTATTAGGCTTAGCGGCAATTAAACAACTTTAAAACTGATGATAATTCTAAACATATTGCATACAGATTTACTAAAGGAATAAAAAGCTTAACCGGAAGATAAGAACAACATAATTCAATCATTTTTAAAGCAAAAAATGTACAATGTACAAACATATAAGAGTAAAGAAACTGAGATCACTGAGCCGGGTAACAGACTGGAGATATATATAAATATATTTATATACGTTTGGTGCGGCCGATTTGAACCAAAATTCGAGGTGCACATCTACATGTTATAGCAGTCCTATATACAAATTTCAACGTTCTGAGGCTACTCGTTTTTGAGATATGCGAGATACGTACGTACATACGTTCGTACAGACGCCACGAATAATTCTCTTCAGAATTCATTTTAAAGCAGTTTTATATTTTTTTTGAAGGAAAAGAGTCTTTTATTCTGTCCTTATGTACAGGTATCACGCAAAAACATCGTTAAATTGCATTCGATAGCGGACAAAATGGATATTTTCGTTGAAATATGCTGCCTGAAACTTTTCGCGATTACAATACTTCCTTTTTACTTCGTACAAGGAAGTAAAAATGGCTTATTTTTATTCTTACATCTATTGTGCTCTTAAGTCTTCAGAATCATTTTTCTTTTAGAACTTATTTGTTGGAAATTGACTGTCATTGACAGAAGATTTTCTAGAATGGCTATAAGGACTTTAAATTTTTCATCTTGCAATCTACTAGATATTTCATCATACAAAATGGGGCATAAGACGTTGTTGCCATTTTCTGTCAGTTACAAGTGTTGGCCAATAAAGTTTTGTCAGAAATATTCTTTTAAACATTTTTAAGTGAATATTCAATACTTGCATTCAAATGTTACCCTTTTTAAAAATTTCTTTGTTACAATTTACATCCAGAAAACTGTTCTGCTTTCTTACACGATCTTATTAAAGACAAATTGGTTAACTTCTATTCATTATGTGAATATTAACATTCTAAAGTGTTCTTTGATCTTGTTCTTTGAAGCTACCCCATGTTTAATTAAGGTGATTAAATAAACTCCCGTCTTATCGCAAATTTAATAACTACTTCTAAAGCCGTAAGCTCGGATTTCAAGGTAAGCAACGTAATTTACAGATGATATTAAACTGATACTTAGTACTAAGTTTAATCTAATTTACCAATAAAGAAGAGCTTGAATCAATTAACACTCTTGCATTCTTTATCAGACACATAGAGATCGATTTTAATTTCGTTTGGTTTGAAAGTGATACCAGTATAATTATCTCATTAATTAAGTGCTTAAGATATTTTTAAGCGGAGTAGAAATTTCGAAACTTGATAGGCGGACTGAAGCACACATTCGTTTTCATCGATGAAAATCAAGTTGACGTTTTAATGAATGCTATTTAGCCTATTTGTTCTTTGCTTAATTTAAAAAAATTCATAACTTGGTGATTTTAACTGCAGGAGATAAAATTGTGCTAATAAAGCGTTTTGGGAAAAGGGGAATATATCGTAAATGTTTAAATCAGGATTCAGCAAAAACCCCTTTTACTAAGAAATGAAAGTAGTAAAGCTGAGGGTGATAGAGTACACGAATATAACATTTGCTGTATAAATAGGTGTAATGCGCTGTATTTTTCTTGCTGTCAGCAAAGTAATGTTAACGAAATTTTCACAAAGGCTGGAACATTGTAGGCTGAAATATGCTTTTATTTATTTGCTGCTTTTGAAAATAATTTAGTTGCCATCCTGCAAAATCTTTACCCTAAGCGTTTGCCTTTGTCATCTACGCATACAGCCTGTTCTACTTGAACATGCTCAGAATTCGTATAAACGTGTCTGTGAATATGAACGCTAAAATGCACACTACTGTGAATTACTATGCATTCTCAAGAAATAACTCAAACTATGCAGTTTTAATTTATTCACGATGTCGTATCTCCCAACAAATAATTTAGTAGGCTAAACAGCTTCATATTGCAGAGTAGATAAAATATTTATCAATGTATGCTTGAGACAAAATATCTCAAGTAAGTATTGTGGACCTGGCATTGCAGTTGGCAGCCCATTCACTATCAAAAAAGAGGTTAGGATCATAAGCCCATAATACGATGCACAAAACAAAACTGCAAAAGAAAATAAAAATGCATGTGACAAGAATAGAATGAAGATGATTACTAGCTAGCACATTTTGTTTGGTGATCTGCGCTGTGTTAAAAGTCTACCAAAGATGCATTACCAATATACTACTGTGCTGTGTTAGGTAAATCCTAGTTTGTACATTCCATTACCAAAGTTTGTCTAATAGTTCTTTGGACTCTAAAATGAAACTTTATCTTAAAATACATTCGTGTGATATACCCAATGATTTCTACCATCGTCAAATTTTTTTTAGAATCTGAAACTTGACTTCTACAGGGTTGCAAGTAATAATCTGTCTAAAATAACATATAGCGGATTATTTCCAAAGTTACGAGATCTACCAGCAAAAGAGATGTGCCTTAATGCGCACGATATATCCGCTGAATATGGACAACAAAACAGTAACATATTAAAAGGATTGTCTGCGGAAAATTTGTGCACATAATGTTCTAAATAGAGCTTTCGTAAAATAAAAAGACCTAACAAAATAGTAGAAATCGACAAATGTTTTTTTTTTTTTTCTTCAAAGAGGATCGAATACGTATTTCGTTCATCAATAAAGGGCAACCATTTTTTGAGAATTCTGCAGGGACAATAGGCTCAACTTTGACAAAATCTTCCCAAACTTCCACGTTTCAAGGGTAGCCATCTTTAACGATTAACGGGATAAAATAAAAATACCTAAATTCAAATGTTATTAGAAAATATTTTCACATTTATTATATTTCTATTTAGGAAATCATAATAAATTCGTCAACTGTATTTGAAGTGTAGGAGGTACGTTTCTAAATTTCTTAATACAAGTACGTTTAAAGTACCTAAGGCTAACTAACAATATCAAATTAAAATGTTTACTAAAAATATCAGAAAATGTAGAAAGTATAATTAAATTATAAGAGGTAAATAAATCTAATTCAATTTGATAACGTCAATAATCAAGCTAATGCAAAAAGCAATTCAAGCGAGTCGATAACATAAATCCACACATGAATGAAAAGTAAATTTAACAGATAAAGACAAAGAACGCAACAACTCTATGCTTAATTGGAGCGATAAGTTTGTGAACGATTTTCTAAGGAAAATACATTATTACTTGTACCTTCGCTAGATACCCATTGTAGGCAGGTCGTCTGCAGTCCTTAAACCTCAGGTTAAACTATCACTGTTTTCAACTTTCTTATCTGCTCGCTCAGCAATGGACCGCATAATAGAATAAGATTTGAGTAGCAAAACACTATCTTATATCAGAAAAGGCGAAGAAAAAATGTGTATCGTGGACAGCTGATCTTACAAGGTCAAAGAATAAAATTTCTTCCGGTCCGTCCTCTAGCAACATAAAAGAGCGGCCAAATTTTTCCCTATCTTGCATGCGGTGCGCTTATCCAATCATTCATTCTTTAGCTGTAAATTTGAAGTGAATTCTTTAGCTGTAAATTTGACGCAATTTATTATTACGTATTAAGCATTATTATTAAAGTTTAGATAAGTTGAACAATATTTTTATCCGAAACATGGTGTACAGGGAAGTTGTTGATTAACATCATGAGTTGATTTCTTTTGTTAACTTTATTGCTGATTGTTGCCCAAAATGTGAGTTATGCTCTACAATAAAATAACCGATCCACTTCTGTTTAATCTTTATTTAACATTATTTATTTATTATTTAATTTCGTTTAATCTTATCTTTAAGGCAAAAATGTATATAGAACTTTCAAATTGGATTTATTCTCTACGTTTTGATTCTCCCTTTCTCATTCCCAAGCAATTTATACCGTAGTAAGTTTCATGCACTCGGTTTTCGATTGTTACAGAATTGGGGGCTGGTCTAAATATCTGAAGCGCAGTGTACTTAGCTCATTATTAGTTACTAGGAGTACGGGGGTGAACAGATTATTTCTACAGGAGAAACAGATTATGGAATCAAATCAACATTTTAATCTACGGCGCATTTTCTTAATATCACTAAAAGAGTATTGGTAAAGGACTGAACGTTTGAAATGAGTATTTAGTTTAAAACGTAACGCGCATATACATGAAGGAGTGATTTAATTAGGCGTAGAAGTAACTTGCTTCTGCTATTAATAAGTAGTAATGAACTAAATAAACAGTGCCTAAGATTCTCACTGACAGATGTATCCCGCACTAGTAAATATCTATCATAAAACCTTGCTTAAAGCGATTTAGAAATGCATAAAAGACAAAGTTTCACTGAAATAGCACTGATACCTATTTGAGCTTAGTAATTAGTAAACTTAAAAAGCTCAATTAATTAATATAACCATTTATTGTTATGAGAAACGTTTCTGCTCTAATCTGCAGCCGGAAATTTATTTTAAATACGTCAGCGTGTTAAAAAGGGTGAAAAAGAGATTTAATACATTGAATTGAGGACTCCATGTGCTCAAATCAAAATTCATGATGTATAATTAAGGTAAGCTAATAAATATAAGATAGATTCGATCGAAAAAAAAGTAGAAATTTCTCTCCTTGTATGACTCATTCTTACGCGTTCTGCCATAAAGAGCAGGTAACGCTTGTACCATCGCTAGATACCTTTTTCTTCTCATCTGGAATCTGGCAATCTTAACGGTTAATAAAAGTTATAGGAAACGTTTACAGAAATGAGATGTGATAACACTGGTTATTAAAATTGAAAACTTATAATTTTTCCAAGTAAGTCAAAAAATACAAATCATATATCAATCTTTAAGATCGTATCAATACGCCATAACTGAATATTATCTGAAATCTATGAAAGTGTTTACCTGCCCCTGTGTTGAAGTCAACATGGAGATCCGACATCTGTTGCTCGGATATTTCGGCCTCTAGAGGTTCGCTTGTCATTTTCTTCACTTCAGAGAGAGTGGCAGTACACCGCAACCGCATTTCATTTCTCTGAAAGTGCCTGTGCTTGACCTGGAATTGTAGGCCGAGGACTGTAGATATCATACCATCCGTGTATGTAATAGGTTCACGTGGTATCAAGTACTTTGGCTTAGCCTATCGTTTATCAAGTAGATAAAGAAAAATTAAGTGGAAAGGGCAAATGCTAAACACGTATTATATGAAATTATATATGTTAAAAATTTTTATTAAATAAATTAAATACTATAAAATTGCTAAAAGAATGAAATAAATTTTAAAACTTCATATTAATAAATTACCCATTAATTTGAAGATCCGAACCTGGAGTGACTGGGTGGACAACCCTGTCCTGCGATAGACATATGCATGGCCTCGTTAAAAAAAAGAAGCACCATGAAGAAAGTGGCTCTTTTTATTGAAATTAAATGTGTGTAAATTTCGTACAAGGTAATAACATGATTAAAAATTTAAGACCATAGGATTGCACATTGAATGTTCAAACCAGTAATTGCTAAGACACACTGGCGACGATGCGTATTTGTACTCAATGTATTGTATGTTGATGACATTCTGCTGCCGTTTTCGTTACCTTTCATGGCACCCCATCCTGAAGCTACTTTCCAACAAAAGATAGCCCCCTACGGCTCCCGTATCTTTGGACTGTCTCCGAGGCGTCATGTATGAGAACCGTTAGGCCACCAGGTTCGGGCACCCCAAAATCTCGCAGAAAATGCCTGGCCGAATGCATCGCAGAATGAGATTAGTTATAATTCCTTACCTTAACGTTTTCGGCTGTTCGGCAATATCTCTTCAATGCCGTTGTATGTTGCCCGTTCAAGGCGGCAATCCCAAGCTGAATATTTAAACCTTAACGTTTTCTTCTCAATTACACTAGAGGCCTTTTTGTCACAATTACACAAAGACCCTTTTCTTCTTAATTGCACTAGAGGATATAGGACAAATTGAAAGTTCCATTGTGCCAGATTGCTAAAATTTCCCTTCTCTTCATAGCAGCAGAAAGAAAGTATATAAGAGCAGCTGCACTGCCCCTTAAAAAAGAGCTGCACCAATAAATTGAAAAGAATTCAAAGCAGAATGCAACTCAACTCCCTCACAACCGTTTGAGCGACATCCTGTAGTGAAAGAACAATATACATCTCTGGATCAAAAAAGAGCATTCATGTACAATTTCCACAAATTTACGCAGATGGCTGGGGCCTAGAATGTGAAAAGGGATGTGCGCTAAAAGTATACCTTAATAGCCAGTCAACAGAAGAGAAAACATTCAACTAAATATAGAAAATTGTGTTTTCCAAACAGAAGTAATAGCAATATTGCAATATTAGAAAACATCAAATACAGTATTCACCACTCCTTTACACCTCCTATCCTTTTACTGATAGCTTATGTGCCATGTAAGCAGTAGTCTCCCCAACGAATAGATCTCCAATAATTCAGAAAATCCTCAGTACTGCTTCTAACATAACTAATTCGCATTTCATAATATTATGGATCAACGTTGGCAGTAAGGGCAGTGAGGAAGTGGACGTCCTAACAAAAGCAGCAGCTAAAGGTATAAATGCAACGAAACTAACCGTTCCATGGCCAAACTCCCACCTCATAATGCAACTCAAAAGTACATTTAAAAAGTATGGCAGCCCTGGTTGGATTCCGCCGAATAGTACAAGCGTACATACGACCTATATGCAAGAATAAACTCCATCACAAACGTTGTCAGTATACAAACAATATTGCCGATCTCAGGTCACTGTCCCTTCCCCACATATTTCTTCAAGAGGAATCTCGCACATTCAGATCTATACGTATGTGGGGAGAGAAATGATCAGAGCATTACACATTCACATGCATCACAATAACAGTTCTGCACCTGAGAAGACCAACATTAGAACAAGATGTGATTCCGTACGTCAAATGGAGATCAGTCATAGCCATATGAGGAAGCGCATAACCCAAATAATGGATATTCTTTCATCAAAGAGTCTAGAACTCTCCGTAGAGTGATCCCACCCAAACATTATGCAGACAGCAGCACCTCAGCACCAGAATGGTATCGTGGACCGCAGGAAGGCGTTACAACTCTGGATAGCTAGTGTAAGGGGCCTATACCTACTTACACAGGGTAAATAATAGATGGTCCTGCATTTATAACTAACTTTACCTAACCAACCTTGACGTTTACAAGCAAGCATCACTCTCGGAGGGATTTTCACCAGTTACCTGATTTTCAAATTCAGAGTGCTATTGCTGAGTTTTAATCATTTCATTACAAGTGATTACTAATACTGAATTTCAATGAAAAAAATTACTTTCTTCCTGGGGCTTTTCCCTCCAAAAGAAAACTTGTGTTTGGGGGAGATTCGCTTTACCATGTTACCGACGAACCCAATGGTAAAATATCTTTTTGGTGTACACTACCAAGAGTTCTTGAAAGATATAATGTTCCTGAAAGTGATTTGTGCGATCACATGGGAAACTCTGGAAGTATATCAATTAAAGAATGCGCCAAATTGACTGATAAGGTTTTATATTTAAAATAAAGAATGTATCCGCGGAAGTCCCGAACATAGTATATAAAATAATTTTTGAAATTCATTTAAATGAGTTGTTGATGGAATATTTTAGTTTACTACATATCACGTTCATCGTTTGGAATTATGAAAACAAAAGTCTTTTATCATAGCAATAAAATATCAAACTTTATTTAGTGGAATTCATTTTTTTAAAAATCTTTTCGAATTTTGCATATCTTTTTAAATTCTAAATATATTTATAATGCACTCATTTGTAATATAAAAGCTTCATTAATATATTTTTAAAGAATCTAAAATGCACGCATTAAAAGGGAATTGTGTTTATGAAGCTAATATTGTTCTTAATACCCATACATTCTAGAATTCAAAAGCTATGCTTTATATTATTACTTTCTAGTTCCGCACGTTAAAACTTCTGTCCCACTTTCAAAATTAAAAGGTTACTTAGAGCAAAAGCCTTAAGGTAGAGCTTATCTGATACTTCCAGAGTCTGAATAAGCTTCTGTCTAATAGCTTTATGCTACGAAAGTTTAAAACTATAAATAATGGATTTTAAATTATTGATAAGATATTATAGCTAGTTAAAAAATAATGCAGCCCATTGAAGGAAACGAAAATTAAATACGCATTAACTTAACAAACAGTAATAAAATGACTAAAAATTAAATTCTGGAAATTAATAAGTACTTTAAATGTAATAATTCAACACAGCTAACTAAATTACATAATTGGTCCGGGTGTAACAGTTTTATTGGAATTTTTTTTTATTTTCATAAAATTTTGCAATGCTGTAGCTACTGTATCATTAAGTTGTATAATAAGCACTTATTATACAATTATATAATAATATTATATTGATATATTATATAATAACATATTTCAAAACATATATCCTATGTCTTTCACATATCAATATAAAGCACCTAAATGTTGAAGTACTGGTCATGAAAATGTGTTTTAAATTGAAGTCTGCTAAATAAAAGTCTTTGCATATTCTTAAAAAAATCGATAAATTTCTATAAACAGAGATAACGCGAACATAATTGCCCTGAATTAATGCAATGTAAGTCACTATTATTGAAAAATTTCTTTTTTAGTTCTGAAAAACGAATAAGATTTTGAAATGAAGTATTCCTCAATAATGAAAAAAACGTTCCTGATCTTTATGGGGAAAATCACATTATAGAGTCTTCAAATACGGATCATAAATCAATCAGTTAAAATGATTATCGTCAGTTCATTTTGACGTTTCAGTGCCGGATATATTTTATGATTAGCTATCCTTATTTTCAGAACCAGATCAAAGTTTAATTTGATATTACATTGCGGAATTTGAGGGGTATAAGTCAAAGCTTTTTATTCAATGTTTTTCATAAAAAAATAGTTGCTTCTAATTATACTTCATAGTATTTTAATCTTCAATAGGAAGAAAAATTTAAGACATTTTCTTTCCTTTCTAAAAGTAGCTTTTCCAATTTAATTTTATGTATTTGTTTAGTTTGCCGATTTGTGTATTTACGAAGTGTGACACACACACACACACACAAACAAACAAACAAACAAACAAACAAACGAGACTAAATCTGTGGCTTGAAAACACAGTGGAGTTGGTAACAACCGTTTTGGTGACGTCATGCCACACACCTCCTCTATCCATGCGGCCAGTTTCGACTTAACTGACAACGCCAGTAGAGAGTACTGCGTCATTGAGAGAACACGTGCAACTGCAGTCTGCCGAGAAAATGCCTACTTGTAAAATCTGAACAGCGAATCAACATCAAGTTTCTTGTGAAACTTAAGAAATCAGCCACAGAGGAAACATTTCAAATGTTAATCGAGGCTTTTGGAGATGAAACTTTGTCACACGCACGTGTGTTTGAATGGTATAAGCAGGTATTAGGGGGAAGGGACAGTGTGGAAGATGATGAACGTGCTGGGCGCCACCTTAGGCGTTCATTGTGACTGAATGGGTTCCCTGTCGTCAAACTGTTAATCAATCAATACTACTACATTGAAGTATTAAAAGACTTCGTGAAATTATTAGGAAAACAAAGGTCATAGTTGTGGAGTGATGGATGACTGTTGCATCAGGACAATGCACCCGCTCACACGAATCTATCTGTCAAGCAGTTTCTGACCAGCAAAAACATTACTGTGATAGGACATCCTCCTTATTCACCTGATTTGGCTCCATGCGACTTTTTTATTTCCTTAAGTTAAATATTACTTAAAGGGAACCCATTTTATCTCAGCTGAAGAGGTTCAGGCAAAAACGGAGAATCTCCTGAAGGGCCTTCCAAAAACCTCGTTTCAGAATTGCTACCAACAGTGGCAGCACCGAATGCAGAAGTGTGTGAATGCTGAAAGGAACTACTCTGGAGGTGATAACGTTACGGAAAACTGATTCTGAAAATGCAGTGGTTTATTGGACCAGTTTCGTTTTTTTTCTCTCTCTTTTTTTTTTTTTTTTTTTGTGTGTATCACACCTTGTATTTTAAGAGTATATATGCCTCTAAGTAAAATGGAAGAAAGTTCAGTAGAATATTATAGTAAAAAAGTCTGGAGAAAATGCACTTTAATTAAAATCTAAGCATGATTAAATAAATTTATTATAAAGTTTTTTTTTCCCAAAATAACCCTGAGTAAAGTTTTCTTGAAAATAGCGATTTCTTTTTAAAATATTTTTTTAAAGATTTTATCATAAAGAATCGGTTTTTAAATATGAAATATTTCGGGATTACTTCAAGAATCTCACAATAAAGCAAAAGAACTTCTTTGTAAGAGGGACAATAATGACTTTCCCAATTAATCAATTTGTTACAAGTTCTAACGTAATACTTCTGTTTCAACATATCACTTTCGGCATATTGTAATGTATATATAAATTGCCTGAGACACTGTCTGGAGACTGTTTTGAGGTTTTCTATTCATTCGTTCCTGACGTGTACCTAAAAATTTAGCTTTTATTTTATTATGCTTTCTATTTTACCGGAATTTCCTTCTACGGTTCAAATTAGTTTTAAAATAATTACTTACCTCTTTGTCGTTAATGTACCAATGTAGCTCTGCTGGAGGTTGTGATTTGGATGCTGTACAATTGATGTCAACAATATCACCGATATCATAGTTGCTTTTTCCTCCTTTAATAATTGGACCATCTTTATGAGCACCTATTCGCAACCCATTTTGCGTTGCAAAACAAAGGCATTTTAGAATCAAGTTTACTAAATGAATTTTTAAAACTAAATGCTTAATTGTTCATATTAAATTAAATGCATAAGATACCTTTTATTGTATGAATTAAATGATGTCACTTTTCACCAATAGTTAAAAGCAGGAGAGGTTTGTGATTTTCATATTTTGACGTAAGAATGCATACTTCATTTCTTAACTTTTATTTAAATTAAAATAAGCAACTTCCCTAATCTAAAAGGGAAAAACCTTCAACTCTTACATGGAATAAAGGCTTCAAATAGATACTCAAAATATGTATGTACTGTTTCGGTTACAGCCGAAAACATTGCGGTCGAAAACGTCTCGGAGAAAACAACGCAAGGCGAAAATGTCATGCTACAAAACATCATGAAAGAAAAACATCGCAAAGAGAAAACATCCCAGTTTTAAAACATCGTGGTACAAAACATCGTCGTCGAAAATAAAGCGGTTCAAAAACTTCGCAGTTTAAAAACATCGTCGTTGAAAATATCGTGGTAAAAATAAAGTATCTACAAATCATCGAATGACGATAACATCGCAGAAATGATTTTTCAAGTTTTAATAATTGTAAATGGATATTCCCATAATGATTTGTGAGCGCAAGATAGAAAGAAAGATAATTTTTACTTTCATATTTTTTGTTACTTAATAAATTTTTGCTGAGAAAATAGGAAGAAAGCTTAAACATAGAAAATTAATGCAACTTATAGCACTTAATAGAATTTTAAACCGACATAGTTAACTAACAAAGGCCATTAATAAATCATTTTTATACAGTTTTTACTGGTAATATTTCATGAAAAGTGTAATCTATAAATTGCATTGGATTTTCTATGCTTAAGTTTCCTTCTTACTTTTTCAGCAAAAATTTATTAGTTAATAATAAAAATCTGAAAGTAAAAATTATCCTTCTTTACATCATGCACTCCCAAATCATTATGGGAATAACCATTTACAATTATTAAAACCTGAAAAAAGCATGTCTGCGGTGTTATCGTCATGCGATGATTTGTAGATACTTTACTTTTAACCGCGATATTCTCGACGGCGATGCTTTTAAACTGCGAAATTTTTGAACGCTTTATTTTCGACGACGATATTTTGTACTACGATGTTTTAGAAACTGCGATGTTTTCTCCCACGATGTTTTGTAGCACGACGTTTTCGCCTTGCGTTGTTTTCTCCGCGACGTTTCCCCCGCTATGTTATCGGCGCACACCACCGTTTCAAATGTTTCTATAATTAAATCGTTGGTAACAAGGGAAAATCTGTCGACACACAGCTTAATTGCAGAGACTTTTAATACAAATGTAGCAGAAACAAATAAAAATAATAAACCAAGATTTTAGTTGAAAAATGCTAAAATGAATAATGCTCACCAGCTTTTACCCAGGCATTTGCCTCACTCGCAAAATAATATATAGAACCCCCGCGTAAAGATAAAGAAAGAAAGATCTATTCGTTATCGGAAACTAAGAGAAAAAAAATGTTCAAACCTGGTTCCGTCAGTGAAAAGGAAATTTTAGTAATCACTAATCATTATTGTTTCACTAATCATTATTGTTTCACTAATCATTATTATCATTATTGCAGGATTATCTTTATATGTAAAACAAGAAAAAAAAAAAAAAAAAGAAATGGGCGTAATACAGCCTAAAGGAACGCTTTCTTCATTTACGTGCACATACACATTTCGAGAGCATTTGTGTTAAACACATTTAAAAACAGCAATATTTTTAGAAATCCTAATAGACAGTCTCGCTTGCTGAAGATAAAAAGGTTTTATTTCGTACAGTGTTGCCAATGCTCTAATTGAAATCGTTGAATTTTTTAATCAAAAATTCGTTACAGCTTTTCAAAATATGAAATAGATAATAAAGCAAATTCGAAATTTCAAATTCGGGCTTTCAGGTGCCCATATTCGGATGGAGGACTACGTTGTTCAAAATTTGATGGCTCTAGGTACCATTGTTTTTCACAATGCGAGAAACATAAATACATTCATGCAGATTATTCTTTATTTAATTTCTTTAAATATAATATAGGGCGAAAATATTTAGTGACAACAATATGAAAAAGGTGATTGACGCGAAATGCGTTTCGGGAGTATATAGCCCAAAAAATTGTTAAATTCAACTCAAGGTACTACGAAGAAAACGTCTTACGTTCGATATTTACAGAAGAAATTTCATTTCTTTGTCGCGGTAACTGTATAAGAGTGAAACTTCAAGATAAAGCAGCAAGTCATACTTCGAAAGATACCACCGTATTTACTTGAAAAAATAAAGATGGACACGGTTATTACATATATACCTTTCAACGTATACTTGTTAAGTCTCTTGACATTTCACTAATAGACTATATTTCTTTTGTCCCTTGAAAAGAGCTCATTCTAAGCATAAACCCACCACGTTTGATGAATGCTGGAAAGTGGTGAAAGAAGAATGGAAGAATTATAAGGTATTTCTCCCACTTTCCTAGCGCGCCTTCGTGGTGTAACGGTAGCACGCTGGGCCGGTATTCCAGAGGTCCGTGGTTCGATTCCCGGCGAAGGCGGTTGCTAATTTTTCATCCCTCTGGCTTCCAGTTTACCTGATGTTTCTACAGTGGCGCCCGAACTTAAAGGGTGTTGGATGATAGTTCTCCTCACCCAGGATTTGGTGATTGGGTTCCCTAAAAACCCCAGTCGACCTTTAAAAGGGGGAGTATATAATGTATTTCTCCCACCTTCTTGGCGTGCCTTCGTGGTGTAGTGGTCCTGCACACTGAGCCGGTATTTCAGAGGTCCGTCAGAGATTCCCGGCGAAGGCGGTTACATATTTTTCATCTTTTCTGCTTCCAATTAACCTAATGACTCTAAAAGTGGCGCCCGAACTAAAAGGGTTGTGGATGATGATTCTCCACACCCAGGATTTGGCGACTAGGTCCCCTAAAACCCTAGTCGCCCTTTAAAAAGGGGAGTATATAAGGTATTTCTCCCACTTTTCTAGCGTGCCTTCGTAGTGTAACGGTAGCACGCTGGGCCGGTATTCCAGAGGTCCGTGATTCGATTCCCGGTGAAGGCGGTTGCATATTTTTCATCTTTTCTGCTTCCAATTAACCTAATGACTCTACAACATTACTTCTCGAAATTTTAAGAAAAGCCCTTCTATCATAGAAATCACCATGCACACTTATAGCCCAGAAAAAAGGCTATCAGTTGGAACATTTAAAAATACTCTTTACATTTTAAATATCAATTAAAGTGCTCCGAGTTCGTTCTAAAAATGTGTGAACACTCTCTGTGTAGTTGTTAGGTAATGCTCTATTAAAATAAAATTGTTAGCTAACTTTCTGGTAAAGGTGTCTAAAATCGATTTGTAATAATGTTTTAACATTAAGTTTCTTTCATTTTATACCTTATTTCGTTACGTTTTTGCTCAGTCCAGTGGTTTATGAAAATTTTGAGACAAACGACACAAGTTAAAATGAGGATGAAATCGTAACGGGTGTTTCGAGTAGAATTCTGGCCACTGTGCTGCTACTTGCCTCGAGATCCTCCATCAGAATTGGAAAAACTTTTAATATTTCTTTTAATATTTAAAACATCTGACGTCACGCATAGGAAGAGCAGAAAGTTAGATGCTTATTTCTGTCCATCCCATACAGTGTTGCGGCTGTGCGTAGAATTTGCTGAAATTACTCTAGCTAATATATTCTAGATTAATCGAGAGCTGTAAAAAGGAGAATCCGGATTAATTTTATTCTAGTACTGTGCTTGTCATGAGGAATGAAGTTTTACATTAACTTTTAATATTCACCAGGTACGCAAAAGGTAAAACTTTTGAGTTTACCTTTTGCGTACGCGGTGAATATTAAAATAGGCAACGACGTGTCAACCAGTTGAGTTAACTTCTAAAAGACAGCCGTTATGCCCAACAAGTAGTTCAGCTAAGCAGTTAGACACCTTTACATGTTATAAATGTAAAAATAAAATAATTAAGAACCATTATTTCAAAAATTGCAGTAAATATTATGTGATTAAAAAATTTAACTGAGATACAGTGCTAAAGGAAGTACACAACTATTCCTATTTCAATTAAAAGTGGCTGTGTCATTCTGTGTACTATTTTACTGCCGCTTCACGCACTAGAATTCTGTATGGTATGTAACTGCATTTAATCTTTGCATATAATTAATCATTTATAACTGAGAGAACAGGAAATTTGGAGTTATTATATTAATTTCTGTTTGCTGCAGATTTTGAGCATATTAATGATAAATCTACTGACGACAAATGTGGACGTCATTTTCATTTGGTTGCATATATTAAAAAAAAATTAGCATCCAAAACAAAAAGAACAATTTTCAAAAGAGAACAAAAAGAGCAATGTTCTTCTTTTAAAAAAAAATATTTCTATACTCGGTGAACTCGCTGTTAATGGGAGTTATTTTGTCAGATTCATCAGCACAGGAATAGCTGCATAAATCGGATTAACCGGACCTTACAGCAGAAAACATCAGAAGAAAAAAAAACAAAAGAGATAGTTGGGAGTATTTTGTCAGCAATTAAAAAAAAATTTTATTGCAGACAAATTAAAAAAAAATATTAACAGAAAACCATCAGCACAGAAGAAACAAAAGAGATAGGTGCGATAATATTTGGGAGTTATTTTTGTCAGTAACAAATACGTAATTTAATTGCATATAGGTGTGTATCGCTTGACTTCTTTCGATATACAAGAGAAACAAGAACATTAAAAACGATTGCTTTTAAAGTTAAAACATTAATGTTAGAACATTTAATGATAAAGCATTTAATATTAGAATGTTAAAAACAATAACTTTTAAAACGATTGTTTTTAATGTTCCTGTTCTGGTGTGTGTTAATTAAAAACAATATTTTAATATTAATTAACCCTTTGGCTCTTGCGAGATTCAGAAATTCTTTCATCTCAAATACGCGCGATATCTGCCCGTTGTAAATTTATATTGCGAGCTGGATCGTTTGTGCCTATTGCGATACTTTACCAGAGTGTGAGCTGAGCTTGTTCAGGGCCATCAAAAGGGTGAAAATGATATTTTTTAATGCTGATTTAGGTTACGTAACCAATTGAATTTAATCTTTTAATTTAACTGCTTGAAAATAAAGATAAATTATGAAAAGCAAGTGGGCTTTTGTTTGGATTATTTTATTATGGCAAAGCACTCGAGGGCTATCTACCTAAGTGAAGGGATACCTTCGTGGATAACTTTCTAAGGAAAATGCTCGGATGTACGTTACACATGGCGGAAACCCACAAAAATCCCCATGCAGCCAGCCAGCTAACTGGACCGAACCAAACCGAACTACCAGGGCTCAGCGACCTTACCGCTGGACCTATAATGTAGGCTATTCCTCTATCCTCTTTTTAACTGCTTTCGGATCAACCGTCGTTTTGCATTAACTGTTAACGTCATCCCAGTGTTATACAGTCTAATCAGAAGTCGACTATATGTCAATGGAAGTTGATGTGAAACAGAATGTAAATGGTTGCACATTTTGATTCATTCTAAGACAGTTCATTTTATTTTTAAGAGTCGATTTAACAATGATTATTTACTTCAGAGTATGTACATATAAATTATAAACTGTTGTTAAAAATAACAACTCCCAAATATTATGGCACCATCACCATCTGCTGTCACTGCAGTTAACCCATGCATTTTTCTTTTTTTAACTTTCAGTAACCAGTTTACGCTGATGGTTTGTGATAGTAATTTTTCTATCGATTTATAATAAACGCAATTAATGTTTTTTAAGACAGAGACTATAATTGACTATAAGTCATTTAAATTTCAAATGTTCTGATACGCAAAAGTTATTAAGTATAGTGCAATTTATCAAAGGGAAACATAAGTTTCGGAGATCAGATATTAGTTTCATTCGAAATTCGTGTTCCTAAACACAAATAGCATGAAAACCTACTCACCGTAATCTGTAAAGACAGTCCCATGGTGAGTAGTTGCATTATTGGAGATCAGAATCTCTTTGCTTCTGAGCGTGTGAGCTTGTGATATGATGGCCTCGCAGACAAGTTTCATCCTCCCGCTCCAGAAATGTCCAGATGTGGCCTTGAATGTCAAGATCAGAGTTGATGTATATAGACCATCAGGCGACTCGTCTGGAGGTAGATAAACAATCTCATCTTTTCTTGCCTGAAAAACAATACCTAAACATCGAATTTGCGACAGGCTTCTCAGAAAACATAAATCTAGATACGCAAAAGCAAAAATATTGCTTTTAATGGAGGATATTCAATGGAGGCAAAATACAGTAAAACATCTTTCTGTATTTAATGTGCTTTTAAAATTCTACTTTCACATCTGTTTCCTGGAAATAGCAATAATTTAATTGCGTATTTTACAGCTATAGAAATAAATTAATTTAAATTTTAGTCAACTAACTGACTTAAATGGTTTAGATTTAATGTTCTCAATACACATAAACATAAAAAGAATATTGAAACAACATCGAATATTGACAGATGTTTCTTTAACGCTCATGGAAACATGTATCCTCAAAAACTAAAATACAAACCATTAATATTGTATTAATTAAAAGGGAGTATTTAATTCTGAAACGCAGTTTCAGTTCATTTTAAATTATCTTTTATTATTAAGCTCGAAGAGAAACAACTCTGCGAGAAATGCATTCACACTAATTCTACAAGATCAAAAGGGAAGTCTTTTCATAATGTGAGTCAACGATAAAACGTTTCCCAGTCTGCACGCGGTGCGTTTATCGCATCATTTGGAAGTGTTCTTCAGGATTGAATTTGGCGCAAAATTTCAGGAGTTGATTTATTTTATTAATTTTATTGCTCATTGTTTGCTCAAAGTTTGAGTTATGCTGTAAAGTGAAACAATAAAATAATTGATACCCCCTTCGTATAATTATTATTTAATATTATTTTTTATTTAACATCCTTTAATATTCGTTAATCTTATCGACGTGTCTCGGGATGTATATATAACTTTAAATTTGGATTTATTCTCTACTGTTTGCTTCTCCTATTCTCATTTCCATGCAACATCGAGTTTTGCGCGTTCGCTTATTTGATTTGTTAGATAATCGGGGTATATTAGCAATGTATAAAAGTTATTTCGAAATATAATGAAATAATGTTTCAATAGGATGTGTAAAGTCGTCATCGACTTTAATTTCTAATTCCCACCGTCCTGCAGTATGCAGAAAAATGTAGAAATTACTTTCTGCTGTTCTTTCCCCTTTTCATGAAACGGTAGACCGTTGTACATTTCGGGCCAAGATACATAGAAAACATACATAGAAAAAAATCCGTAGTTAAATTCGGGTGCGGATTTTCCGTAGCTAGATTTGATAAAAATTCTTACCGCACTGGAAGATGGGATAGCTGTATGTAATATCCCGTAAAAGGATATGCGAGTAGATGAAGAACAATCGTAATGTAAACAAGCCTTTTTCTTCGAATCCATGGCAGATATTTAAAAATAGATTATTTACATTAACTTTAGATTCCGGAAGATTTTCAAGCTCATCTTGCTTGTTGAAGAAACACAACGAAGAGAACATATTTTTAGTAGAAAGTAATTTCATTTGTGATTATCTAGTGTACAAGTGATCCACCACTTCCCTTTTACAAACGATCCTACCATTACTACACGAAAGCACGTCAGAAGGAAGAGAAAGTACCTCATACTCCTGAAAATCTTACTCTAATTCTTAATTCCCTGTTGCTTCCTGAACAGACTCTTAAGCATTTCAGATTAATCTTCATTGTCAGCACCTCCTAAATCTACCAATACACTCTCCAGTTCCACAAAGTTAAATAAACACTACATTATGTTCCTTCTTATGAATTAAAAGTAGATTAAAACTAAAAAAATTCCATATAAATTGAAAATAAATCATAATGTCTATTTGTATGGCTTTGATATTCATTAAACAGTGAAAATCCTCAGTTTATAAAAGGCCGTTCGTCAACCGAAGTGTTCATAAACCGAAACAATTTTGATCCCACGAATTAATGTAAACTGGATTAATTTGCTCCTGAACCACAGATTATTGTTTATGTGAACTATATAGTAACACTTTGTGCTAAAGTGCATCACACAAAACCAATGCAATTCCTTAAATATAAAATAAAAGGAGATAAACATTGTATAAAACTAATAAAATATACGAAAACTCTGTTTAATTTTACCGTAGCTGTATGAAAGAGGAAGTACCTTATTAGTGGAAAATGAGCAAGAAGAGACCATTACTTGGATACGAAATTTGCATTCATAAGAACATCAGGTAACTGAAGAGGCATCGTCTATTATCTTTTCTTTGTCTGTAATGCGCACTTAATTCTGCTTGAGACTAAATCGTCTTGTGGTTCGTTTAAAAGTTATCATCATTTTTGTTGTATGCATCATGATATCATCATATAAAATGTTTCTAACGTGAAACATGACATTGTTATTAAATGCTGGTGTCATAACTTGGTATTGTTTTATCAGGGAACTGTGAGATTAAAACTTTGTGTTTTAGCCCATTATGCACAAATTGCGCGGATGAAAGGTTTAGAATCATATTTCCTTCTCTTCTAAAGATTTTTCTTTCACAATCGCTTTTTGTTTCTGCTTCTGAAGTTGTTTTAATTATGTGTTGCTGAGCTAATTTTTATGGTCCTTAGTAACTTATCCCTTTGCCTTGATTGCCAACTTCCTAGACCATGGTGTTGCCTAGATTACAGAAATATTATCCATAGATTATCCATAGATTACAGAAAAGACCTAAATCCTCAAAGTCTCTACCTGCAATTCAATCTGATCACAATTTTCTCCATGTCGAATGCTTAGCCCTGTATGTTACGTACTGCCAGGTTTTGTTAATGTTAGCTAAGCAACGGAAAATATTGCTAAAATGATGCTTTTAGACGTCCCCGAGCGTTATATGGAGCACAGGCTACCCACAAAATACATTTCAAAATTTAATGTTGCCGAATTTAGTGCTAATAAATGAAGACACCGTTTGTCAAACATTGCATTTTTTTGGTAAGATAATTTGTTATGGGAACTGAATTGTTGATGAAGTGAGGCGTTCGTAATCCAAGTTTCCATTCTATATGATTCTTCCTTTAGCTTTAATTTAACGTTTAAGTTTTTTGGCAAATTTGTTCTCTTTTTTTAGAGCTGAGAAATCTAAAAGTACTTCCGTATAAATTAAGTGAGTCACAACTGCTTTTTCTCTGTGCACCATTTTAACTTTCAAAATATTTCAATTCAATTTTCTAGCTTTGTAAAGTGAGGTAAATTGCATTTATTTTTCTTAAGCAGTTAATTCCATTAGCGTTCATAGCGTTCATATTATTGGTTTTAATAACATTTGAGAGAATTTAAACCTTTACTTTTTAGTTTTATATAAAAACGAATATACACAACCGCCATCACTGCATCCTGCTGTTAAATGTAGTTTTTGTTTGATAACTTTAGAGTTTAAACTTTACTCTTTATCCTTAGATAAAAAGAATGCATAATCAGCATCACTAAAACCAATTTTCAACGACTCATTACAGCAAGTAAAAAAAGGGCTCCGCATGAAACAGTAAATATTTAAGAAACAACTTTTTATTAAAAAAAGTAACACTTCTTAGTTAAAAGACTTTTATGAAATTTTGTATTTTTTGAAGTCGTATGTAAAACTTTTAGGCGACGGTTTAGGCGACTAATTTTTGTCGCCAAATTTGGCGGGAAATCATCGAAAGTCGTCAAATTTGGCGACATTTTGGTCCGATCCCTGTATCATCGTAATAGGCATATTAATTGAAGAATAACTGTAACTGATGTTCTGTGTAGTTGTAACCTTAAATTGAACCTCATATTCCTTCCTGTAATTTCGAGAAGCAAAAGTACTAGAAATATCTCCGCGGCCGGGTGGAAACTATGTAAGACCAGAGACAACACCTTCTCTTAGTAGTTGTTGTGAGCTGTTAGATCCGATCGGCTTCTAAGTATTGAAATCTTTGCTTTTTAGATCTCCTTTGCACTGCATTGTGTTTAACATTCTTAATCGTTTCAAATTTCACTACTGATTGTGCTCCCTGATACTGTAGAGAACTGTATTAGTATTTTTGGTAAGAGTTTCAAAATTCTGAAGTGTTTCTTTTTATAAAATAAATTTTATTAACCTATCATCGGACCAGTGTGCATTCAATCTATTATGAACCCGTGCGCACACAACACTTTTGGTATCAGGAGAGGGGTTGAATGCCAGGAACAAGAGCGATGGAGAACAACTAAGACAACTGGTGACTGTTTTTGCTGCATCCCAAGAAAATATGGAAGAGGCCGTGAACTTCGGGAAAGAAAAGAGTAAAGCTTTTCAAGAAAAGACTGAAGCAGGTCAAGAAGAAATCAAAAGAGAAATTAACTGCTTAATAAAAACATATTGATGGCCATGGAAGGCAGAATAGACACGGTTGAAGAGTTTCTGATGTGGAAAAAGAAATTCAAAAAAGAGTTTCTGCCGGCCAAGAATAAATCGAACAACAAATTGAAGACGGAGTTTCTGCTGCAGTTGCCAAAGAATTTTATACCTCAAAGAAATGCGTAGCGATAGTAGGAAGCAATTCTAATGGTTTTAAGTTTTTACCTATGCCTGTTCGTCCCTCTCTGTAACTATCCACAAATGATGGGAAGACTTCTTTGCAAGTGTATAAAGACAATTTTCTATAGCGGAGGACATGAATAGATGGGATTCCCAAGCTAAGGCTTGCCATCTCTTCGATTTTCTGAGAGCAGACGCAGAGGATATCCTGCAAACTTTCACCGAAAACCAGAGGATAGGCACTGAAACTCTATTCAGCGCTTTGGGAAGATATGTTTAAAAGACTAAAGAAGACTTCAATTAAAATCTGGTCAACAGAAGCCCACGGAACCACTCCAGGAGCTCTCCGCGTATGTTGAAAAGCTGTCTCATTTCGTATTTTCTGAGTGCCCGACAGAAACAAGGGAAATCTTGTCTCTGCAGTACTTTATTGATGGCATACGCTATCCTGAAGTACAGAAAGCTCTGCGAATGGCGGATCTCAAGGATTTAAAAAGCGCTCCAGTGTACTCCATGAAATTCGAGGCAGCTCTGCAATCACCTCGTAAAATTTTTTTAAAATACTTTATCGATTTCGAAAGAGATCAGACATAGATACATCGTTTATATGAGCCAAACTAAAGTTATAAAATTAAAAAAATAAAGCCAAATTAAAGTTAAATGTTTTTGGCCGAATTTTAAAAAAAGGAAAATTATCATGTATATATATTTAAATATTTAAGAAATGTTATATATATATTTAAGAATATATATAATATTTAAAAAGTATTTAAGAAACTCAGATACATTTAATATTTAATTAATATTAATTAACTTCACAAAATATTTAAGAAAATCACATACATTTATTCGTTAAAGATTTATTATAATATTAAAATAAAATATTTCTGTTTAAATATAACTGAAATATTTCTGTTTGCTTTATAAACATAACATTAAAAAGCATGTTTTGGAAAGTACAAGCTTGTACTACTTTACTTACAAATTAAACGAAATCGAGCTCAGTTAAGACAAATGTTCAATCACCTGCTTAGAAAAGGATAATTAAATGGGAGGGAGAAATTTTAAGAGCGTAAAAAATTAATTAAAAGGAGAAAACGTGAGATTATTACACAGAGAACGAAATCCTGCAAAATAAATGTTTGAAGCCGAATACTTTATCGTAAGTTTCTTTATTGAATTCTACTTTATATTTAAAATAATTACTATAATTTCTAGCACGTAATCTCAAATTCCTAAAAATGTTTACTGAAATCAAAGATTAGTTTATAAGAATTATGTTAATTTTATTAACAGTTAAATTTTAAGTTAAAGTTCCTTTCCTGTCGATTCTTAACTTCAACTTACTCCTTCCGGCCAGAACGCAGTTTTAGAATCACGTCTGAATACATAATAAGGAAGAGCGGTATTTAATCGCGAAGTTCTTTGATCTTAGTGAGTGAGTTACCAGGTATCCTCTCTGCACGCGTCCGCCTTTTTAGGCTACTCTCTCGTAAGCTATTATTACGCTCGGCCGTACTTAGGCTCTTGATAGATTCGCAGTCAATTAGCGTTAAGGGGGCCAACTCAGTTAGAATCTTGATAGCTTCGGCTATATGTCTTTAGTTTAGATTAGTTTTAGTTTAAATCTTAGCCTCTTAAGTCCAAGTGTAGGCTTTTATTGTACACTCCAAGACGGAATTCTGTTAAATCTTATTTGAATAATAAAGGGTAATTTACCCTTCCATCTTGTTGTTTCCTGTCTCACGAACTCAAGCGATTAATCGCTTATCAGTTCTTAAGATTCTTCACGTTTATCTGTAACTCAGATTACACTGTGAGGAATCCTACAAGTTGCTATTTCATTATACTTTCACTATTTCTAGAATATAGATGTGCTTAAAGTTGAGAAAGAGTTTACAAATTTTAACGTAGTACAATTGTAACAATTTTTAATTAGGCTTATAGTAACTTCTCCCTCCTTTCTGTTTGCGTTCGTGGTGAAACGGTAGCACTCTCGGCGCGTATTCGAGAGGTCCAGGTTCGAGTCCCGGCGAGGACACTGTTCATTTTCAATGTCTCCTGCTTCAAAATACCTAATTTCCGCACAGTGGCGCTCAAAAAGGTGGTGGATGATGATTCTGCACCACCAGGATTTGGCGATTGGGTTCCCTAATCCCCAATCGGCTTGTGAAAGGGGAAGTATATAAGGTATTTTCTCCCTTCTTTCTGCATGCCTATATAATGTAATGGTAGCACACTCAGCGCGTATTCGAGAGATCCAGATTCGATTCCCGGAGAAAGCATTGCTCATTTTTCCTGTCTCCTGCTTGAAAATAACCCAGTGACTCTATATCAAATGCAAATAATATGACTGTAGGATTTTTTATGCAATTTCTGAGAAGAATTTCTTAGTCAAACCATGATAAATGCAAAATATATTAAATATTATTATTATTTATACACTTTTTTTAAAATTTGAAATGAATTAATATGATTTATTAGTGATAATGCATTATCTGTAAGAAGAACCAAATGTTGTTCCGTTTAAAGGATATAGTAAGCTAATATAAATAATTTATATTAATTAATGAGAGTAATATCTTTTTCTCTGCTAATTGAGACGCATCCATTACACACATAGTTTCAATATCTAATAAAAATAAATTTTCTTTAAAATAATATGAAATAAAAGTAAGTTTTCCAGAGACATTTTTGAAAATTTCATTTCTGAGGTTTCAGTTACATTTCAGAATAAGTAAATTACATAACATGACGGATCCTTTCATGAATTTAAGTAAATAATAATAGGAGGTGAATTAACATGAAAAAGAATTCATGTGTTCCAGATGTACATATTCATGTAAAAGAAAAAGAAAATAAATAGTTATGAGTATAATAATAATTATAATAGCCAAACAAAAATTTGCTTTTCTTTTGATCGCAAGTTTGATTTTATTCTAAAGCAGTATAGGATCAAAATCTGTACATTCTAGTATTTATTGTGAGCATCCAACTCCACTACAGAAACTTTCCTAAGCAGATGATTCTTTTCTTACATATTACAGAAATGCAATAAAACATACGTTTTGATTTGTCAGAATTTCCATATATAGTATACGTCTTTTCATAAAACTGAAGAATATCACATCTATACAAGTTTTATTAGATTTAGTTATAAGACGAAGATACATGATATAGCACAGTTACTTCCTCAACAAGAAAGCGAAGCGTGATATTCCCAAGAGACACTGACATTCCCCAAAATAAAAGAATGTCTCTGGAAAAGTTTTGGTCCAAATATAAAAGAGCTTAAGAGGATTTGTAACGTTGAAATAAAGCGACGAAATCTTTACTTTTTTTTCCCAGACTTTAAGCTGGAGCGTGTGATGCCGAATAACTCTTGCAATGTTTTTTAAATTTTTGGAAGAATTTTTTTTTGGACATGTGAAAGGAATATTATTCTGTTTATACCCGACAACTTCCTTCAAAACATGCAATTCTAGATCTAGCTTCAGGTAAGAATCACCATTCTATTCATATAAAACAGAAGTTTTGTGCATACCAGAAATATTGCGTTACATTTATAAAGAGCAAGCTTATACATTGCCTCTTAAAGTTTTAATATACTACTAATGAAATTTGAATATCCTCTTTTAGAGAAATTTAATAACATGAGAAAATGCATTCACTTTGATTTTCAATATCTTGTATTATACGAAGAAATTAAAAAACTCTCGTTTTTTAATGATGATAAAACTTGTTTTACTAATCTGAGACAACATAATATTGCCCCAACTGGCTTAATGTGATACATGCATTTCATTGGCATGGTACTAGCAGAGGTACTAACAGTCCACTTAACTCACCCTTTATTGGAGAGTTAGGTGAAAGAGCTTAGTTAAGTGAAATACTGGTTAACCGAGAACCTTGAATTAAGTGGAATATTAATCTGTATCAGAGAATCAGAAACGCACCAAACTTTGGTTCTCTGAATAAGAGAAACTTGTCTGATTGCCTTCGAAATTAATAGTTCTATTCAATCTAAGCTTAGCGGTCTCAAACCCAAACTGCATGCGCGTCGAATTCACGATTTGAACAGCCGACAGGCCACAAGTTTTTTTTTTATCAAATGAAAATTCTTTTAACAAAATAAAAGAATATTTTGAATAAATTAAAAATTTTGCTTACTAAATATTTATCAAAATATACATAATCTATAACAATAAAATCGTAAAGGGAGGGGAAAAATTAAATTTGTATTTACTGTCTATCTGAAACATAAACTTTGGTACCTGTAAGGCAATTATGTTGGTTCCACTTTGTAATTCATTTATATTAGCAGCTGAATACTAAATTTTTAGAATGACATTCTTTCAAATATTTCTGACATGTTTAAGTAATCATTAAATTATGTAATTGAAACAAAAAAATTATGAAAACTTTTCTTAGTTTTAAAAGTGAATTTACCAACTGGGATAAAATTTGAGAATAAATAACAGCAACCTAATAGTAATGCTTTCTCTTATTTATTAAATTTTTCTTGAAAGCATAAATAAGAATATTTATGTTCGCATGTAAATAATATATTTTCTTTTTATTTCTCATTTTAGCTTTATAGTTGTTCGGGTTTCTATTCCTATACAACTTGTGGCTTTGAAGAGAAATTATCTTCATTACGAGTTCTAGATGTTTATTGTTCAAGCGGATTATTTTTATTAATTTTAAGCTATTCAAAAAAGCTGTTAACCTATAAATGCATTCAAAAACAAAGCAATTATTGTTAGCTCAAAAATTGACAACTGAGCTCATCTCATTTATTTTTTGATAAGTACTAATAAAAGTTAATCAAATCTGTATCTTAAAATCTTTGAGTAGGATTTATATTATTCTGTAAATAAATTAGCTTAGTTTATAGATTTTCTCGTACATTATTCATATTCGTTTTCTAATGGAATAAAAATAATATAAACTCACATCTTAAATCTTGAAATATTTCTATGCCATATTTGAAACAAATACATAGTTGAAAAGTCTTTGCGGGTCGCATAAAATTTCTTTGGGAGCAGCTTTTTATATAACTGTGAACTGAGGACGCATAAAATCAGTCGAAGTTAAATCCTTGAATGAGATTCGTCGTAGAAGTATACAGAACATATCTTCAGTTCATGTTTTTTTGGATGTCGCACTATA